CCACCCCCGCCCCCGCCCCGTTTGGCTTTTCTTTATTCAACCTCCTGGGATTTTTTTTCTTTTAAACAGACTAGACGCTTGAAGAAAAGCTGCCATCCAAGAAGACGACATGCTTTCAGCAACCCCCCTGTATGGGAACGTTCACAGCTGGATGAACAGCGAGAGGGTCCGCATGTGTGGGATCAACGAAGACAGGTGAACGCACTGGTCTCTTCCCCCAGGCTCGTGAGCGGAGCCAGTGCCCAAGGCCCTCATCTTCTCAAAGCCAGAGTGGGCCCAAAAGGGGCGGGGGAGACAGAGCTCCCGCCTAACCTGCAGCCCTTGATTTACAGTTTTAACAGGCAACCTGGCTCAGCGAAGCATTGCCGCCCTTTAAAAGATTAGCCCCTAAAGCGGCCTTTCAGTGCACTTTCGTCCTTAATTTATTATTTCATATTTATGAAGGAGAATTAATCCCAGCCTATATGCTGCTTTAACTCTAAATGTCAGGAGTGTGGGCCCAGGTGGATCGGCATTCGATGTGCTTTTAAAACAAATAGTTTGCTCAGTAATAAATGGGGAGATAGCCACCCTTCACTTCAGTTAAGCCCAGGCTTCTCATTGTCCTCTGCCGCCCGCTCGCTGAGGCCATTGGCCCCTGGTTTCAGTCACCCGGCGGATCTCTTTGACTTCCTCATCAGTGATTTTCGAGTGTGGGGTAGAGGCAGCTAACCAGGAGATGATTGAAGCTGCTCTTCAGGGTAATGATGAAACTTTCCTCTGCTGCTTGTCAGCGATTTTATCCTGGGGATTTAGAAGTTGGCACCAAGTGCTTTCTTTATCGATGCTCTCTGATAACAAGTCCCAGGGCAGCCGCAGCAGCCTGGCACAGATGTGCGGCTTCCTCGGGAGCCTGGAGCAGCTGACATTTGTATGATATTAGTGCGTATCCCTCTCATTTTGCTAAAGGCAGTCAAATATGGCTTCATCATCGCCATGGAAACCAGGTTCCTAGGACATGGTACCTAACTTTGTTTGGGGACAAGTTTGGAAAGCCTGCCCTCGTGGGTCACACAGAAGTGATTGGTGCGGCCAGCTTGTCCCTCGTCTCTACCCTCCTGGTCCCACTTTGGCCTTTGGCCACTGCACGACTTCATGTTTGACCCTAGGTGGAGCTTATAAGGGTCAACTAGTACGCAGAGTGCTAACAGACCTGTCTAGAGAAAAGGGGGCCTTGGGTTCATGGGAGAAATCGTTGTTCTGTTCTGGCTTACCCAGCTCAGGATCACATTGGTGGTGGTTCCTGTCCCCATGGCCCGGCCTTTCATTCTACTCTGGCCACTGGAGTTGGCGTTGGGGGACGGCTTCCAGTATGGAAGCAGCCCGGGCAGCTGAGACTATGTGCGCTCACTAATGACTTCTAGGGGCAGTTTGAATAAAGGGAGTTACTAGGAACCAGTCTGTTCTGGGGGGATCTGTGGAAGCAATGCTTTCATGAAGCTGATGTGTCTTTCTAAATAGGAAAATTCCTGTAAACGATGGTGATGCTTCAAAGGGCAGACTGGAACTAAGGGAAGAAAATCCCTTGAACCACAACGTGGTAAGAGATTAATGGCTTTTGTTGATGTACTATCTGAATATCAGTGATTTGTCATCGATCTGTATGTTAATGTGCATACTATTAAAGGGCCTTTTGGGGGCGGTGCAGGGGGGTTCAGGGCAGAGCAGAGGAGGGAGTGTAGCTAGCGCCAGTGCAGGACAAGCCTTCCCCCAAGCACTTCCCTCTTCGCCTGCCTGGCTGTGTGCTGCTGTCATCCTTGTCTCCAGTAGGTCATGTACCACACCAGTGCACCCAACTGGATAAATTCCCAGCCTCCAAGTAGACCCGCAGAGTTTACCTTTCCAGTAAAACACGAAACACAGAACTGTCTTCAGACACCAGGGAGAGAAGTCCAAAGACAAAAGTACGGTTTGACCAATGGCCTTTTGCGTTTAATTTAGAAAGGCGACAGCCAAAGCCCTCCTATCCTGCCAGTGTTTCTTGTTCAGTGCCTTCCTACATCCAGGAAAAATGCAGTGAACGCTACCCCTGCCCCCACCTTAACAGCCTCCCCCCTTCTGTGGGCTTCTGTACCCCATGAAGGTGGGGTGTCATCTCAGGTGCAGCAACTAATTTTTGCTGAGAAGGTGAATTTTCCAGAGTTAATAGATGACTGAATTAATGTACGGGCCTCACGTCTAAAGGGATTAAGGTTTTCTGTGCTTCCAGGATACGAGTTGAACAGAGGCAGGTTGAGGGTTTTGAGTAAGGGAGGAGGGGTCAGGCCTAGACCCTGTGAAGACTCTTTAACGGCTTCTGCTCAGCTGTTGAGGCCGATGTCCTACTGAACTAGTTTGGTTGCTCCACGGGGACGGGCTCAGCTACTTTGAATGCCCGGCCTAAGTAACGCCCATGTCCTTCTTCTGCAAAGGTGGACGCAACTACGGCCCATAGGATTGATGGCCTGGCAGGACTGAGCATGGACCGCACTGGCCTGATCCGAGAAGGGCTGCGTGTCCCTGGAAACATCGTCTATTCTAGCTTGTGTGGACTGGGTTCAGAGAAAGGTCGGGAGGCTGCCACAAGCACTCTAGGTGGTCTTGGGTTTTCTTCTGAGAGAAATCCAGAGATACAGTTCAAACCCAATACACCCGAGGCAGTGGAGGCCTCCGCTGTCTCTGGAAAAGCCCCAAATGGCTTCAGTGCTATATATAAAACACCGCCTGGAATACAAAAAAGTGCTGTCCCTACAGCAGAAACATTGGGCTTGGACAGGCCTTCCGGTGACAAACAGAGCCCGCTCAACATCAATGGTGCTAGTTACCTGCGGCTGCCCTGGGTCAGTCCTTACATGGAAGGTGCCACACCAGCCATCTACCCTTTCCTTGACTCGCCAAATAAGTACTCACTGAACATGTACAAGGCCTTGCTACCTCAGCAGTCCTACAGCTTGGCCCAGCCACTGTATTCTCCGGTCTGCACCAACGGGGAGCGCTTTCTCTACCTGCCGCCACCTCACTACGTCAGTCCCCACATCCCGTCTTCCCTGGCTTCGCCCATGAGGCTGTCAACACCCTCCGCCTCCCCAGCCATCCCACCCTTGGTCCACTGCCCAGACAAGAACCTGCCCTGGAAGATGGGTGTCAGCCCCGGGAACCCTGTCGAGTCCCATGCCTACCCTCACATCCAGAACAGTAAACAGTCTAGGGTCCCCTCTGCCAAGGCGGTCACCAGTGGCCTGCCTGGGGACACAGCTCTCCTCTTGCCCCCCTCTCCTCGGCCTTCACCCCGAGTCCACCTTCCCTCCCAGCCCACTACAGACACCTACTCGGAATTCCATAAGCACTACGCCCGGATCTCCACTTCTCCCTCAGTCACCCTGTCGAAGCCATACATGACAGTCAGCAGCGAGTTCCCCGGGGCCAGACTCTCTAATGGCAAGTATCCAAAGGCTCCTGAAGGGGCTGACGGTGCCCAGCCAGTTCCTGGGCACACCCGGAAAACAGTGGGTCAAGACAGAAAAGATGGCAGTTCGCCGCCTCTGTTGGAGAAGCAGACGGTTACCAAAGACGTCACCGACAAGCCACTAGACTTGTCCTCCAAAGTGGTGGATGTCGATGCTTCCAAAGCTGACCACATGAAAAAGATGGCCCCCACGGTGCTGGTCCACAGCAGAGCTGGAAGCGGCTTGGTGCTCTCCGGAAGTGAGCTGCCGAAAGAAACATCTCCTCCAGGAAACGGCTGTGCTATCTATAGATCTGAAATCATTAGCACTGCTCCCTCGTCCTGGGTGGTGCCTGGGCCAAGTCCTAATGAAGAAAGCAATGGCAAAAGCTTGCCGCTGAAAAACAAGGCCTTGGACTGGGCGATACCCCAGCAGCGGAGTTCGTCGTGCCCCCGCATGGGTGGCACAGATGCCGTGGTCACTAATGTTTCAGGATCAGTGTCAAGTGCTGGCCGCCCGGCCTCAGCATCACCAGCCCCCAACGCCAACGCTGATGGCAGCAAGACCAGCAGGAGTTCTGTGGACACCACACCATCCGTCATTCAGCACGTGGGCCAGCCCCCCACCACGCCCGCCAAGCACAGCGGCGGCACCAGCAGCAAGGGCGCCAAAGCCAGCAACCCAGAACCGAGCTTCAAAGCAAACGAGAATGGCCTCCCGCCAAGCTCAATATTTCTGTCTCCAAATGAGGCGTTCAGGTCCCCACCTATTCCTTACCCCCGGAGTTACCTCCCGTACCCAGCGCCCGAGGGCATCGCTATCAGTCCGCTCTCCTTACATGGCAAGGGACCTGTCTACCCTCACCCGGTTTTGTTGCCCAATGGCAGTCTCTTCCCTGGCCATCTCGCCCCCAAGCCCGGACTGCCCTATGGGCTGCCCACGGGCCGGCCGGAGTTTGTGACCTACCAAGATGCACTGGGGTTGGGCATGGTGCACCCCATGTTGATACCTCACACGCCCATCGAGATCACTAAAGAAGAGAAACCAGAGAGAAGGTCCCGATCCCACGAGAGAGCCCGCTACGAGGACCCGACCCTCCGCAACCGCTTTTCCGAGATGTTGGAAGCTGGCGGCACCAAGTTGCATCCGGAAGTCCCTGCCGAGAAGAACCTAAAGCCGAGCCCCAGCTGGAATGCAGGGAAAACTGCCCTCAAAAGCGACAAGCTTGTCTATGTCGATCTCCTCCGGGAAGAGCCAGATGCTAAAACTGACCCAAACGTGTCCAAACCTGGCTTCACAGCAGAGAGCGTGAGCCAGAGCACGGAGCCCAGCAAGCCCCCAACCGACCCGGCCCTGCAGCCGCACCGAGATTTCCTCGCCCTCCGGGAAGAGTTGGGGCGCATCAGTGACTTCCACGAAAATTACACTTTCAAACAGGCTCCAGGCCAGTCGGTCTTCAGCCTGAGCAAGGAGAGTGTTCCCGCGGGGACCAACAAGGAGAACCTGGGGGTGCCAGTCTCAACTCCGTTCCTGGAGCCCACTCTGGGGAGCGATGGCCCCGCTGTAACTTTTGGTAAAACCCAAGAGGATCCCAAACCATTTTGTGTGGGCGGTGCCCCACCGAGTGTGGACGTCACCCCCACCTATACCAAAGATGGAGCTGATGAGGCAGAGTCTAATGATGGCAAAGTTCTGAAACCGAAGCCATCTAAGCTGGCAAAGAGAATCGCAAACTCCGCTGGTTACGTGGGGGACCGATTCAAGTGTGTCACTACTGAACTGTACGCAGATTCCAGTCAGCTCAGCCGGGAGCAGCGCGCTTTGCAGGTGAGCCCCCCCCCCGACCCACCGAATGTCAGTGACTTTACCAGCTGTCAGTTTTGTAATGTGTAAAGGGGATTGGGGGAGTGTGGTAGGGCAGGACACCAGACAGATGTGGTTAACGAAGCTTATGGTAATTTAAATGTATGAAATGTGTCCAGTAAGGGGACGTGAGTGGTAGGATGTAGGAGGTTCATGCGTCTGCGTACTTCTAAGTTATTCTGTAGATTTTTAAGAGAACGCCACTGGAATGCTGATAAGGGAAGTTGTAATTATTGCCAAGCTATCTAAAGACTGCATGACGTTTACCTATCAATTGCTTTGATTTCTCTGCCGTTACTGTATGTTAACAAATAGACTTAGAAGTGCTGCTTAGAATGCCTTACATGATATTGGTGGAGGTGTGTAGCGGCCGCATGTCTGGGATTCATGCAATTTTTTTTCCACCACCACCACCAACAAAAAAAAGCTCGCTTAACGGAATAGAGTATGTATTTAACTTGCTAGTGAGTTATGATAGATGTTGTATAGGAATTTCCTTAAGATATTTTACTTTTAATTAAGAGATATATAAAGCCAAATTGTTTTGCAATGTTAAGAAAAAATTGGTTTATGCTTATAAAAATGGATGAAGTTATCTAAATGATCCATTGAGTGCCCATTTTAATTACATAGATGGAAGGATTACAAGAGGACAGTATTTTATGTCTACCCGCTGCTTACTGTGAGGTCAGTTCTTCAAATTTTTATTACTAGAATCTTACATAAACCTTTTGAGTTAAATTTCATTTCCAAATATACAAAGGGAAGTTTGTGGGCCATGGTCGTCTTTATTCATTGTGCATTTCGTTTTCCTTTCTGTTGTTTTCTTGTTTTGTTTTCTTTGCGTTGTGTTTTCGTTTTGTTTTATTTACCTTCCAAAGAGAATGTCTGTCTCTGTGCACTCGTGTATGTATAGCTATACATACACACTGCATATATATCTATATACATATGACTTTATGAATAAAGAATGGGACTCCTTATATTTAGATACTCTTAAATTTGTATCTGTTAAATTTTAAAATATCTCAGTTGTATCGTAAATTGTGGTTGGTTTTGGGCGAACTTTTCTTTGAAAATACTTTCCTTTAAGGTAAGGCAAATGAAATAGCTTTTATGGTAAGGTGTTTTTGTTTTTGTTTTTTTCCCCATCTCCATTCTCTTTCTAGCGTGCAATGATGCGCTTCTCAGAGTTGGAGATGAAAGAACGAGAAGGTGGCCACCCAGCAACCAAAGACTCGGAGATGTGCAAATTCAGCCCTGCAGACTGGGAAAGGTTGAAAGGAAGCCAGGACAAAAAGCCAAAGTCGGTCACCCTGGAGGAGACCATTGCAGACCAGAATGATGGTGAGAGATTAAGTCACTCCAGGCGGCTTCTGTGAGATACCTCATCTTAGCATCTGGGAGAACTGGGCGATCGTATTCCTTAAGTGTGTTTGTGTGTGTGTGGTGGGACACAAGGAGAAGCGATTGACTTGCAATGGCCGCGTGTCCAGTTGGCAGCAGCTTGGAGAAACTGACCACTCTTGCCATCTGAGGAGTGAAGTGTTCATTTTCTTTGTGAACTTTGTGGCACTGGGGAATGAGATACCCGGGAAAGAATTGTTTCCTGGGCACCTGGCCTCCCAAATGCTGGCCCCATTAGTAACAATGTGACACAGTACAGTTGGGGGGGGGGGCAGTGGAGACCTAAGTGTGGCTTGCCTGTGTTCTATTCTGTGTGGTTTTATTTTTTTGTAGCAAGTTGGCCAGAGGCAGCCCCCCACGCCCATCTCAGGTCTCCTGTGGAATAGGGATTACTTCCACTCTCCAAAGGCAGAGGTTTTCTTGAGACGTGACGAGATGAGATGAGAGGCACCATAAACACGAGGGTGATTCTTGTCGATGGCTGGCCTCAAAGACATTGTGAGGGAGACATGCCCGTCGCAGAGCTTGGTCCAACGAGGGTGTTCTTTCCACCAAGGAGTGACTTTATTATGCCTCTGAGACCGGAACTGGGGGGAAAGCTAGTGCTGTCCTTGGGCGATAAACTTTTTTTCAGTCCCGACAGCTGCTCCCCCCACTGTGACTGATTGACTTGAGGATTTTCTTGTGACGCTTCCAGGTGGATAAGATGTGTTGGCAGCAAATAGATGAAGTCTTTCTCCTTGTTTCTTCCAAATATGTGCCTGAGGCCTGACGTCCTCTCTGGACCTCAGAAAGCTCATTGGGAAGGTGAATTAGGGCCTCTAGGTGAACTTGGTGCTAGTGGATGCATCCGAGAGCTCTGTGTTGTTGGATGTCAGCCACCCTGGTGCCTGGTGGGATTTGGAAAATGTGTGGTTTTCTCCTTGCCTGGAGAAATGCCCCCTGCCCTGCACCCCCAGCTCCTCTTGGGGTTCAGTCAAAGACCTGTGGCCAGGTTTCTGGGCAAGCCTCACCATGACTGGTTTGCTCTGCATTAATCCCTAAGAAAGTGCTTTTTGTTGCTAGCCGAGACCTTCCCCACGTGGCGACTTGATGTACCTGCAGACAGTGTACCCTTACCTTCACCTTGGGGGGTGCCGAGGGGGGAAGTGGAGAGTCCTAGCCAGTCTCCAGTGAAGCAGCAAAGAAGCCTCCCTCCTCACCATGCTCTTTGCAGACACGCAATCCTTATTTCCTTCTGACTTGCCTCTCTTAACTGTTGACTATCGCCAACTCTGGGCAAGTTTCTCAGAGAGACCTGGTGCAGATGAGGAAAGGGCCATGGGAAGGAAAGAGCTCATGGGAAGGGGCCACTCCAGGGTTGTTACAGGTCAGCCCCAACGTGAAATGGGTTGCCTGACTGGGTCCTCAGTCTGCGTGCTTAAGAGGGACTTAAAATGAAACTGAACTGCAAATACACACAAAAAGGGTTTGTTTGCAGAATGGGGAAATGAAGATACGGATAACTCAGGGAGAAAGAGTGATACAGATAAGTAGATATGAATGCATCCCACCAGTTCTGTTGCCGGAAGCCCAACAGCACTCTGAAGCTGGTGAAAAACCAAGCACCCCAAGACCCACATGTCTGGTTATATACCCAGCCTGGCTGCTTCACTGCGCCCTCAGTTCCCAGCAGTCCTCCCTTCCGTGGTGATGATATCCTGGGATTTGTAGTTCTTGATGTCTTGGATCTCTCTGGTCTGGCGTGGGGGTGGGGTTCATAAAACCTGTTTGTGGAGTTTGGTCAGGACATCCTCTCCCCTCAACACTTCCAAGAGGGAACTTGTCTCTGTTGTGGTGAGGGAGACGGGAGGGAAGGAGTGGGAAGGTAGCCAGTCTCGGTCTTCTGCCCTGTTCTCTGGCTTCCCAGTGACATGGCCGAGCCCAGCATGGCCACTACCCGTTACATGTCAGTGGTCTCACCTTGGCTTTTTGCCCAGAGAAGTTTGTGTCTTTCTCTAGAACTTGGTGTGATCTATGGGCCGTGGAGCCCAAGCCCCAGCTTCCACCCTCCAAGTTCAGGCTGTCCTGAAACACCCTGGACATAGCCCAGTGAGCCAGAAATCGCCACCTTGGGCAAGAGAAGGTTGGGGAAGGTAGAATGGGATTCAGGTTTAAAGATGTGGCAGTGAAGGAGATGTGTCACCACCAGCAGCCTTCTGAGAATTTTGTGGCTTCTGGTTGGTCAAGGAGTGTAACCCAGGGCCCTAATTGGTGGCGTAATGGGTTAAAGCACAGCGCTGTGAAGGTAGCTGCGGGCACTTCAGCATGAGTTCGATCCCCAGTCAGGGAGGTGACCTACATGGCATGGCAGACCTCCCCTGATCCTCCCGCTGCTCCCCACTCTGCCTCTGGTGAATCCTCTCACCACTCCTGCACCTCTGGCCTGTACCCCAGTTCTGTATGTATAAATAAATCTTAAAAAAGAAGACGAGAAGCCTAAAGGGGCTGTTGTCCTTACACTGCCACCTCATTCAGGGGACAGCAGGTGCTGGATTCATTCACTGCAAATCAATGAGCCCTCTTGTGCTGCGGCCCTCATGTCTTGAGGCCACATGCACTTAGACCCCTCCTCTATGCTGGCTCCCCTGTTGTGGGGCCAGCGTGTCACAGAGCTGAACTGAGAGCATGTGGGAGCTAGGAGGGATACAGGATGCCTTCCAGCAGTCTTCCAGCCAGGCAGAAAAGTGAACGGACTTGAAAGTACAGTGATGAGGGTTTTCATTTATTCTTTGGAAGGTCATCAAAAGAGGCATCAGTGGCATTGGGAAGATGGGAAGAGACAAGGGGGCGTCTCTCCCTTCTCCAGCTTTGAAGACCTGCCCCTTGCCAGACTCTTGGCCAGAGTTCACCTAGGACTTTCTCAGGGGCAGTGCTGGGGCAGGAACTAGAGGAAACCCCAGTCAGAGGACTTCAGGAAGCCTCCTTCTGGAAGAACACCTGTATGTTAGTTAGGAAGAGATATTCCCTATGCCTCTTCTGTAGAGGGTGGTATATGTTTTAACAAGGTTTGCCTTTACTGGAGGCGATATGTTTACTTGCAGAGGGGGGAATTAGCAATCTTGGGACACCCCAGCCCCTCAAACTTTCCCACCTTGTTTAGGGCTCACTGGGTGGGCCTGGCTCACTAGTGGGTGAGGGTGCTTCGTTGCTATGGTGACTTGTAAATGTTGCCATGGTGATGCCTCCGTGAGATAGCACTATGGCACAACCATGATAAATTATGGGATGTATATGCCGTGAGTCATATGACCATTAGCAGGGAGCAGTTAAACCACGAACGACACAGTTACGTTCATATCTGCTCAGACCAAGTGACCGAGGGCCTCGTGGCTTCTCACTTTTTGAAGGGTTGAAAGTAGCAGCCAGAGCAGATTCTGGTGGTTAAGACGAGATCTGTCTCAAGGGATTGTTGGTCCAGGCCCACAGAGGAGCTCGAGGTTCAGTGTTTAGGGGTGTGGCTTGGGGCCTTTCCTCCATGACTGGTGGCGGGGTGTATTGCGGGCAGTCACAGTGGGTGTTCTTCTGGATTATTACTCTGAGTGAGGTCACGGTAGATATTAGAAGCATCACTGGGGAATTGGAATCTTCACCCAAAGAGGCTCGGCCAGAAAGCCATGGGGGAGAGTTCCTGAACGATCTTGGGGGAGCATTCCTCCTTGAGGAGAGGGTGCAGACAGCCCCCTGTCCAATCCCTGGGGCCAGGCAGAAGGAGCCTACTGAGAAGGTCCCGGGAGTGCTGACTAGAGGCGGTGAATGGGTGGCGCCTTCTCTGCCCTGGCCTGGGCGGGGCTGCCCTGCGCACCCAGGCAGCTTGCACCAGGTAAGAGACTCATCTTCTAGGGGTGCTTTTGCTTGTCAGGGAGCAGGCCCCCAGTCACTACTTCAGACAGCACAGGTCTTCCGGGGCTCTTTCTGGGCAGTAGCTGCTTGTGGTGTGGCTGAGGCCCGGGTAGGTGAGCTGTCACCTGGAAGTTTGCTATGAGTGTGCAAACTTCCAAGGGGGACTTTTCCCCAGCCAGGTGCCTCTTTAGGCAGGTTGAAACTGTTACAGATCTAGATGGTTAAAATGGAAACTGTGGAAGTGAAGTTGTTAACTCTGGACCAGAGATCCTTGATCTGCTTAGGAGACATCTCAGAGGCCTTGGGGCCCATGCTGGCTGATTAGGACCCAGTCATCTCTGCGTTCAAGCTCCTTGGTTTCAGACAGCCCTCTGACCCAAACTGGGCAGGGCCAGTACACTGTAGCGTCCCCAAGCCAACCCCACGGGGCTCACAGCAGGGGAGGCTGACTGGACCCAAGAAGTCACTTGGTGTCATTAGGAGGGTGCTCACGTCTTCAAACTTCAAGCCGGTCTGAGATGAGAGTCTTGGCATCCTTTTGTTGGAGAGAAGTCCGGCCTTTCCGCTCTACCCTGCTAGACCTGGGGGAGACTGGCAGGAGCACTCCCACTTTGCAGCTGGGGGCGGGTGAGAGGGTCACAGAGCAGTTAGAGAGTGGCAGGCCCAGTTGCATTGGATGGGCCACAGGTCGTGTGAGCCAGGACTTCTGTCCTGTTGCATCCCAGGTTGGCCTGCACTTTCGTGAGGGGGAGGTCGGGGACTCCATCATCCCCTTTGCTAGAGTAGACAGCCCCCTGCCCCCTTGTCCCTTGTCCAACCTTGGAGAGAAGGTGAGTGGGCTTCTTCACCGTTGAGCACAGGCTAGCCAGGGCCAGGGGGAGGCCACTAAGTGCCAGGATGCTCCCCAGAGATGGGGATAAACGGGACTCGTTGGAAGTGGGAGTGCTGCTTGAAGGCAAGCGGGGAAGGGAGGCATGGGTCCCGCGGATGAGGCGCATGTTTATGATTTCGTCGAGAAAGGAGCTTGGCGGCTTAGCTCAGTGGTACGGACATACCAAGCTCATCCTCTGGTGATGTGGAGGCTCCTCATGAGGCCACCCCCTTGACACCACAGTGACTATTTGGAGTGATCGGGTTCTTGGAAAAAATGTGAGCAGCAAAGCATCAGTGAGCTACTTCTTACCTTAGAGTGGAAGGAAGGGAGTGTTGTTGGGCTAAGATGGTTAAAGGAAAAGCCCCCAACCCCCGTGAGTGCTGGGGGGTTGCGGGCAGGGGGCAGAGAAGTGGCACCGTCGGAGCTGGAGTAAGCAGTCTAGCTGTCATTAAAGGACACGTGCCTGTGAAGGGACGAAGTCTTGTCTCTGGGATGTCGTCAGACGCTTGCGTGTGGAGCGGGGCATGCAGAAGAGTGCCAGGTTGAGTGACCAGCGTCCTGGTGACTGTGCATGTTGTTGCCCAGATTCTGGGGTCTCAAAGGCCCTTTCCTGGGTAGCAGATGGGAGCAGACCCATGGTTCAGTGATGCGCTTCCCCCACCCGTGGCTTAGCGGAAGGAGCGCGGGCTGAGCAGTCGCGGGGCCAAGCCCTTCGAAGCCGCCTGACCTGTGTGCACACCAGGAGCTGCAGCTTCGCACCTTCTGCCTTTGCCAAGGCCCGAGTGGCCCTGGCCTCCTGGCTTCCCTGCAGCCCAGCACTCTTTCCCAGGCCTTTTGCACTGGGAACGTTGCTGTTATTCCTTCTGGAGATGGCATTTTGGGGATATTTGGTCTCTTTATTGTATCACTTTTCTTTTATTTCAAAATAATGACCTCAGCAGATGTTTCCATAGAGATTTTTAGGTCAACCCCGGCCTGGTTAGATCTTACTGTGGGGTCACCCGCCATCTGTGGACAAGGGCCCTGGAGGGGACCCGAGCATCAAAGATGTGTCGGGCAGGGAGTTCTTTCATGGTGCATGAAAAAAATAAAAATAAAAAAGACAGTGCTGATGTCTCTCCGCTCCTTGATTTTCTCGCGCCCCAACTCTCAAAGGGTAGAAAGTAGCGAGTGGTCGGTCTGTGCTTGGCTTTCTGCTTCACTTGCCCACAGTCCACAGTCCTGCTGTCCTTTGGGAAGTGCTGTTGCTGAGGGATTTGTGCTGCCAGTGTGGAAGACCCCAAGCTCCCAACAAGGGTGGGTTCGTTGCAGCTTACCACAGCATGGAGACGCCTGCTCCCCAAACCCGACCCTCCCCTGCTGACTTGTATTCACCTTTGTTTCTGTGTTCTTGTCTCTCCCCGCACCCAGGCGAGTATGGTGCTGGAAATAAACATGATCCCTTCGAAGCCACGGAGGACAAAGAGCTACCTGTGGAGAAGTTCTTCGTGGAGAGGCAGCCTGTGGGTGAGCTGCCTGCTGACCAGGCGCCTGCGGACATGCCACACAGCCCTGCCCTCCGGCTGGACCGAAAGCGCAAAGTCTCAGGTGATAGCAGCCACGCTGAGACCACCGTGGAGGAGCTGCCTGAGGACCCTCTACTGAAAGCCAAGCGAAGACGGGTCTCCAAAGGTGAGTGCAGGCAGCCTCGCTGACCTCTGGTTGTGGCCAAAGGTGGACCGGCAGGCACGCGCCCACCTAGCCACAGGGTGTCTGGGACGTCACGGGCGGAGTTGGAGTCCCCCCCACCCCCCACCCCGAGCCCTGGGCAAGCCCCTGGCACCACCCCTCCTCCCAAGCCAGATGCAGGAGCTCAAGCCCCAAAGTGGCCCAAGACAAGCAGACCCCTTCCCCAGATTTGGGTCAAGCAGAGACTGTAACCACACCCACCCCTCCTCCCCCCCCATTAGTGATGCATAAAAGTTTGTTCCCCCCCCCAGGGGGCTTTTTGATTAATTTGTAGTTATTTCTCCATTAGATGACTGGCCTGAGAGGGAAATGACAAACAGTTCCTCTAACCACTTAGAAGAGCCACATTATAGTGAGCTGACCAACCTGAAGGTGTGCATTGAATTAACAGGGCTCCATCCTAAAAAGCAACGCCACTTGCTGCACCTTAGAGAACGGTGGGAACAGCAGGTGTCGGCAGCAGAGGGCAAACCTGGCCGGCAGGGCAGGAAGGAAGTGACCCAGGCTGTGCAGCCTGAGGTTGCTGCCCAGGGCAATAACATCACCGAAGAGAAGCCTGGCAAGAAAAGGGCAGAGGCGAAAGGCAACAGAAGCTGGTCAGAAGAGTCTTTCAAACCCAGCGACAATGAACCAGGTACATAGAGGCTCGCCCCACTCCTGGAGGGTGGGTCACCCACCTCTTGGGGAAAGGGCCCTTGAGGGCGTCTGGGCACCGTAGAAGTAGGCTGGGATGTGGCAGGTGGGGTTTCGTTCATACTGTCCTCACATCCTTAACACTTCTGCAACGTGCAGAAGAGGGAGCCTGACTCCCCAGGTTATTTCTTATCCACCGTGTGGCTGGGCAGCAAAGGAAGTCTGGGTGTGACCCCAGGGCTTGCCAGCAGCTTTATTCCGGCCTCAGGCCCCCAGTGGGTGGGAGCCGAAGAGCAGGAAGGACTGGCTTCTGCCCTCAAGTCCTGGCCCTTTGAAGAACTTGCCGCTTGGCTTTTGTGGGTTAACCTATTCGCTGTCTGAATGTGGGATAATTAAAATATTAATGCTTTGAAAACATAATTGGTATATCTTTAAAAACTGAAGCCGCTCCAGTGATCAGTGCTAACAATGGGCTTTTCTTTCCATACCGGCTACAACTGTATAACGCCTGCTTCTTCTCCCCCCTCCCCCCACCCCATGCGTCTGCCCACCACCCCCTCCGGATTCAGGCTTGCCTGTGTTCTCCGGCTCTCCGCCCATGAAGAGCCTTTCATCCACCAATGCAAGCAGCAAAAAGCAGACTCAGCCAAGCTGCACACCAGCCTCGAGGCCGCCTGCCAAACAGCAGAAAATTAAAGAAAATCAGAAGACAGATGTGCTGTGTGCAGACGAAGAAGACGATTGCCAGGCTGCCTCCCTGCTGCAGAAATACACCGACAACAGCGAGAAACCATCCGGGAAGAGACTGTGCAAAACCAAGCACTTGGTCCCGCAGGAGTCCAGGCGGGGCTTGTCACTGCCTGGGGACTACTACGTGGAGAATGCCGATGGCAAGGTACCTTTTGCTCCTCGCTTCCCCCTGGTCCTGTGTGAGCACATCCTGCCCCAATGCTTTTTGCTTCTGGAGACATAGCTTTCCTTTTCTGGACCCCTCCTGCGAATGGCTCCTCCTCCCCCCTCCTAAGGGAACATGTCTCCTGGTGATAGTGAAGTTTCAGACTAGCAAGAACGAAACCCTTTTCCTCAACCCCTTTCCCCCACCCCACTTACCCTCAAACAAAAGGAAAAAGTGCCGTCTCCACTCATGTTTGTGACACGGGAGGAGGGAAAGGGACCTGTGCGGGAAGAGGGCCCTGAGTGTCAGCTGTCCTGGTTTTGTGATAGGTGACCTTCCGGAGATTCAGAAAGCGGCCCGAGCCCAGCTCCGACTATGATCTGTCGCCAGCCAAGCAGGACCAGAAGCCCTTCGACCGTTTGCAGCAATTGCTACCGGCTTCTCAGCCCTCACAGCTGCCACGCTCAAGCTCCCCTCCGGAGACCACGCAGTCGCGCCCGATGCCGCCGGAAGCCCGGAGACTCATTGTCAATAAGAACGCTGGTGAGACCCTCCTGCAGCGTGCTGCCCGCCTGGGCTACGAGGTGAGTCTCCTTGTGGGTGCCCTGGATTCGGGGGGGCGCGCTGACTCGGGGAGGGAGTTCTCTGAGCCCAACCACCTCTCCGGTGGGGGGGGCTGGGCTGGGGGTTCCAGCAGGATGTTTGTGTTAGCCCAGCTCTCGAGAGCTGCTGCCTACTCTTTGGTGGCTTGTTCAATCGTGGTGTGAAAAGAAAGGCCTCTCTGATGTTTAGTTCGTGTTCAGGCAGGTAGGCTGCTTCGACATCCTCCAGTCTCGCTCACTTATCTCTGATATAAAATCTGACATAACCCAGGGCTTGGCGACTGGGCGAATTTTAATGAGGCCTTTTGGATTCTGATTAGCAAGGGGGAGAGAAGTTATTAGCTCTATTTGGGGTTGCTTGTGCTGTCTCGCAGAGCTGTGCTCCCCCACAGGGGCACCACAGGGAAATGTCTGCAGGGGAGGACTGGGGGAGGGGAGGCTGAACTGAACAGTGTCTCTGAGGCGCTCCGAGCGCCCTGATGAGGAGGGCTATGGGAGGGCTTGGCTGCCCCAAAACTCTGCCCTTCCCACCCGGCATGGCCGATGACAGTGATAGTTTCTATCTCAGTAGCACTGTAGAGAAAAAGACAGCATCTTTCTTTCCAAATTCGTACGATCTGTAGTAACTCATTTCCCCCATTCCGCATCTTTGTGCGTAATAACTAGTATCACCCCACTTTCAGGTAAGGAAACTGAGCCCCCAGAGAGGTTCGCTCACTTGCACAGGAATAGTCCTGCCTGGCTCCCAGGGCCCATCCCTCCCCAACCCCGCAGCTCTGGCTGGCTTTGGAATCGCCCTTTTTACAGTTCAAAACCTCTGTGAGATGGATTACTCCCTCTGCCCTGTATGTCTCCCCCACCACACTTGTCAGTTGAAATTGTGATGTAATAGCCCACAGGGCAAAGGCACTTTTTTAATGCTGGCATCAGCCCGCTGGGAGTTGAGCGGTGAAAATAAAATGCGCTTCAGCAAGCTGAGAGCGGAGGTGTGGATGAGTGGCGGGTGGCAGGACCCAGGCTGGCCCCGGGCTCAAATGAAGGCTCACGGGGCTTGCCCGGAGCTCTGTCCCACACCCCAGCAGCTCCACACTGCCATCCGTTGCACCCACCTCCACCCAAGTGCACCCCCAGATGACACATACGCGGCTGGGAAGTTAGAAATGAGTACCCTGCAGAGAAGTTCTTCAAGAACTAGCACTTTCTTATTTTGAGGGTATTTTTGGTTGTTGGTTGAATGTGCTGTTTGTATCGACATGTCTCTTTTGGAGACCTGGATTACCTGGCAAGAACTCTCTGAAATGATGTGTAGGTACTTCAGTACCTGCAGGTGAAGTGGTTGAATGACGTGGTTTCCTGTGAGCCTACAGCAGCAGCACCTCAGAGGGACAGGGTGTTGCACGCGGCCTGAGCTAGACCCTGCATGCCTGTGTTCACTGTTACTAGGCATGGGTGAGAAGATAGTCTCTGGTGAGTCCAGCAAGCCATGGACTGAGGCGGCAGGCAGGAAAGCATATCCCGCTCCAGCTGCCAAGGAGGACAGGGCTCCTGACTTGGCCTTGGATCTTGGCGCTTCTGCCAGTCTCCCATTGGCATCAGCGACCTCGAGAGAGCTGTCTTGCTCCCATCGGGAACTTTCTATTTTGGCTGTTTTCTTAGAGTTGGTGGATCTGAAGGTGCTGGACCAAGGTGCACTTGATATTTTTTTAAGGCTACCAGGTCTTTGATGACACGTGCGGCCTTGAGAATGTTCGTGTCAGGCTAGTTTTTGCTTTCTTCATAGGTAAATTTCTCTCTGTGTGTGTGTGTGTGTGTGTGTGTGTGTGTAGATATAGCTGTCTCTGTCTCTATATATATGTATGTATGCGTATATATATATATATATGTACATACATATAGAGATATAGATACAGATTAGATACAGATAGCTATAGATAACATTTTTTTGCACAGGTCACCAGTTTTGATGCTGAACATATTTTCACTAGAAGATGAAGTTTCTTCTCAACAGTTTAAAATTTCGTTAGTCAGGATTGTAAAGGTTGGAATGATAGTCGGACGACGTAAACCTTGAAGGACGCTTTGCTTATTTGCTTAGCTGGCTTAAAGTGTGGTTTCAATGCATGGGTTTGAGAGGACTTTCCTGAAGTTACTTTCTGCTTAGCTAGAGACACCATATGCAGTCAAAGGTTACCCCAGTAGCCTGAGGTCGTGTTAATCTGGTTCTCAAACTTTAGAAACTCTCTCCAGCTTTGTGTTAGATCTGACCACTTGCCTAGCCGAAGATACTCTCTAATCTTTTCTCTCCTGGTCAGAAGACTTCTGTTTCTTAGGCTGAAACGCCTGTCTGTGTGCAACTGCATGCCTGTGCGTTCCAAGGTGATGGTGAAATTTTCTATGAATTGAATAAATCATGTTTTTAAAAAAGTTAATGAGGCATTTAATTAATTAACAATGTCGGGTTTATGGCCTTTATGGTTACATTTTGCTGTTAACGACATTCAGCTTACAGCCGCTGGACAGGGAATTGTCCAACAAAAACACTTCGATTTTGTTTGGGAATGGATGGGCCGCACTTCAGACACTCCCATCTCTAATGCAGAAAATAAGCCAAGAAATGTATTGGGTAGACAGACTTCCCCCAGCCTCTTGCGCCTTCTCACCAACGATTGGGGCAGCGGTTGCCACCAGCTTAGAGGATCACTCTCCCAGCTAGCCAGGGGAGCGTAGTTAGCGCACCTGGCCCCAACAGAGAGGTTCTGCTCCTCACAGCTGGACCACATCCCTCTGCCTGGGGCCCAGGCTGGACCTTTGGAAGCTTCCCAGTTGAGCTGATACCACAAGACCTGAGTTCTGTTAGGTTTACAGCTTTGTGTTCATTGATGTTGGCTTTTATCCTCTCTGGGCCTCAAGTCCTCCGCCACTTCCCTCATAATCCCCCCTTCCTTCTTGATACCCCAGAGGTTACCCAGAGATAATAGGGAACATGCACAATTGGGGGAATGAGAAGCCATGTCAATAGCTCCCCAGTGCCAACATGGTTGAGCTCAAGATAGCTCATAGCAAAAAGAAGTCAGGATTCTATTGCCTTTACCGTCACCCTCCAGAAGAGATTGATTCACCTGTCAGCTTTGGCCTCCTTTCACTTCTAGGTACCCTCCAATCACCCCTGGTATAGCCAAGAAGGTTTCTAGGTGAGGCCGTAATTGTGAGCAAATAACCCTGGGTTGATGGGACACCAGGTGGGCTGCGGGGACCCGGACGAATTGATCTGTGCACAGCAGTCAGTAGTGCTCAGGCCTGCTCCCCACACCACGTGACAGGCGCTCTCCCCGGCAAGGGCACACAACTCATTAGCTTGCAGCCGTCCACTAGAGTCTGGCCAGTGAGGGCCTGCTAAAAGAGCAGCAGCTTCGCGCCGTATCCTGGATACCAGGGCTCAGGGCAGGTGGCCTGGGAGCCCAGAGGATTGTGGGCTTTCTGGCAGGTTCGGAATTGAGCGAAGAGGCGAGTTCGTGGGCATGCCTCTTTTCTCTTCCTCCTCTGCCACAGTGACGCAAGACACCTGGAACCTTCTTGGCTACAAGGGGTGATTGAAGGGCTCCAAGTTTATTGGCTTGTAATGTTAGGTTCACAGTATATGGAACATTCTCGTTAGCTTCTTAGCGAGTGGTCACCATTGAGGGATGTGTCCCAGACAGGACAGAAAAAGTTGTTCAGAACCCATGCCACACCTCTGGATTTCATGACTGAGTTATTCAAGCGTGGACACGGGGAGGCCTGCTCAGGGTGCTGACTCTCTTACCAGGTGCTCTGGGTGCTGAGCTCCCTCCAGACTCTGCTTATTGACAAGCTCGCTGCCAGGCGCCTGGCTTGCAGGAGAATAGTGTAACGTGTTTTCTGGTGGCAAATGCCATCCTGTGTGTTTGAAAACTTTCTTAATCAAGGTAATAAAACAATGAATAAATTACTGCTCTGCTTACTGGGAGCAGTTCATATTAATATTTTAACATGCCAAGGCAGTAAGATTAATAACAGTGATTCTAATGCAAACTGTTGACACAGAACACCTTCTGAGAAGGGGCAGGGCACTCTTGTTTTATTTAGTTTCTGAGATGTGTGGGTTGCAGTATGTGGTATATCAGAATCCTGTTATTAATTTAAGTAAATATGAAGATATTATATTGATTCATCTCCAAGTGAGGTAGAGAGCAAAGCCAAACAGAAAACGGGGCAATGTGAAGCTTTTTGTGAAGTTAGACGATGGATGGTGGTGCATAGAGGGAGTTCCTCTTTGGCCCCACTTAACATACAAACAGAAGTGTTTGCGACCCACCTCAGATGCTGGGTCTTTACAGGAGTGTGAAGATCTGGCTAGCCCAAGTGTCTCTCCCCTCTGCTTGTAGAATGTTCTCCAGGTGATTTAAATTCCACCATAGGCCCCAGTCGTCCATACTTTTATCTAAACGTGCGCTGTCATCAGTAGCCAGCTCCTGAGTGGAGTGTACGCTCTGCAGTTCCCAGTGCGTTGTTTAAGACGTCAGCAGCCAGGACCCCCTCTGCGCTGGTCATGTGGGGCCCTCAGCTGAGAGACTTTGTGGCTCTCCAGTTGCTCCCTCTTAATAGCCCTGTGGAGAAGTTCATAGGTAATGTGTGAAGGCCCAGCAGCTGGGCAGCAGGGCCAGTTTTCAAATACAGCCTACAGAGCTCCTGACACTGTCTCCATCAAACTTCGCACCGCCTGCCTAGACCCAAGGATGTGTGCCTTTGAAAGCAGCATTCACTGCCAGGTTGTGGAGAGATCGTCCTCACAAGGTTCACTAGGCAGTGGCTCACAGCTCTCGTCTTGCCCCCCACAGGAAGTGGTCTTATACTGCCTGGAGAACAAGATCTGTGACGTTAACCATCGAGACAACGCAGGTTACTGCGCCCTCCATGAAGCTTGTGCGAGGGGGTGGCTCAACATCGTGCGGCACCTCCTCGAATATGGCGCTGATGTCAACTGCAGTGCCCAGGATGGAACCAGGTTGGTGGCAGGTCTTGTTCTGGGCCTGACCCTGTCGGGGCATGGACAGTGGCTCTTGGGGGTTTGCAGGACACATGTAGAGGAAAGGTGGAGCATGACCTGGGGCCATCTTGATGGCAGAGCCCTCTAGAGTGGAATCAAACAGGCCTTTCTGCAAAATGTAGTGAGAACTTTTAGGCGTTTGTCATGCTCTCATGGACAGAAGTCCCTGAAAGGATGGAGGCCTGCTTAAATAGTCAGGCCTGTTGCCTTAAGATCCTGGATTCTGTTAGCATGTATTGAATGATGGTATTTAAAATAGAGGTGGAACCTAAAGTCCCTGGAATTCACCAGACAGGCCCATGGTAGGACCTGCCATTTTCTCCCATGTTCCCAGCCCTGGCCCCCACCTGCCCATGGCCCGGGCTTATTGGTCAGAGGCCCAGGTCTGAGCCAGCATCTTCCTGGTCTGCATTGGGTTGCTCCAGGGGCAGACCACCAAGGCTTTCCTCACACTTCAGCTGCATGCAAGCCGAAGCATACATGCTGTTTCATACCAGCCCCACATGCCCGCCTTTGGGGTGGGACTTTGGGCAGCGTCCCATCTCCCTGCTTCCCTGCCCCACACCCTGTGGATACACAGGTGGAAGGACTCTGTACCCTCCTGAAAGCCCTGTGCTGGGCCAGAGGGTTGATCATTGACCTGAGCTGCCAGGCCACAGCTATCAGGAGAAACTTCACTTTGCAATTAGTCTCGTTTAAAAAGGGAGTACATCTTATTTTTTTAATGGTCTTAACAGGGCCTCCCTGGCGGCATCGGGGTTAAAGTCTCAGCACTATCAAGCAGTTCGATCCTCGGCCAGGGAGCTGACCCACATGGCGCGGCAAACTCGCCTATCTCTCCCGCTGCTCCCCTCAGCAGTGTCTTTCAGTAGATCCGCCTGTTCTGCTCCCCGCTGTGTCTCTGGTGAATCAATTATTCTTCCCACCACCCCCCCTTGAGTTATCACCTTTTTATAACCGGTCACTTCTTAAATTCTCTTTGGTCCCTGGCTTAAGATTGATTTGCATTTGAGAATGAGGCCTGAAATAGTCCCTTCACCTGCCTTATAAAGGGTTGAGTAGCAATACCAGCAGTACGTCTTTGTTTGACCTTGGGTCAATCACCGTGCCTCGGTTTCTCGATCTGGAATGGCAGTGAGACCTATACACACCTAGTGAAACACTGCGTCTAGGTTTGCCGCACATGGCCCAGTTTTGTCTGTCGGTCTCAGGCAGGTTGTGCAGACATTAACCCGCCCACCCTCTCCGTCATATCTTTCCTAGGCCTCTCCATGATGCTGTTGAGAATGATCACTTGGAAATTGTCCGCTTGCTCCTCTCCTATGGTGCTGACCCCACTTTAGCTACGTACTCAGGTAGAACCATAATGAAAATGACCCACAGCGAACTTATGGAAAAGTTTTTAACAGGTACGCCAAAAGATCCAGAAAGGTTCTTATTTAAACCTCTACATGGTCACTTCACATACTTCTGGCTAAAGCACGCCACTTACTCCCTTGCCCACCCTTGTTCATTTCCGTCATACTTAACTGGGAAAGGCAGTAAAGTGAGTCTGTCCAACAGGAGATATACTTTATTTTTGCGTGTGAGGGCTGAAGCAATTGCGGGCTAGCATTACTCCAGGCAGACTGGGGCGTGAAAGGGGAACACTTCGTCTCTGGCATGGACAGGTGAAGCGGGGGTGTTGGTTTTTTGTCAGATTTGGCAGATAGCAGTGTGCCAGAGAGGAGTGTAGAAAGGGAGGGAGCATCTTGGGGTGGGGAAGAAGTGCCATGACAGCCACTTGTGAATTTGTAGGGGAAAAGACCCTAAAGCAGTCTTTCTTCTCTTCCTCTCCTCTCCCTCCAGATTATTTGAATGACCTACAGGGTCGCAGTGACGATGACTCCAATGGCTCCTGGGAGTTCTACGGCAGCTCTGTGTGCGGTGAGCCATGTTCTATTGAGTTGCGTGGGTGGCGAATGCACTACAAAACACTCCTGGTGTGGCTTAGGGGTGGTGGGTACTAGAGCAGAGCCGGGCTGGGAAAGACCGTGGAACGTTTAGGTCCTTTTCCCTTTTTGACAACAGCTGAAGTCTTGTGGCTTACTGATCCCCTTTCTCCCTTGTTTGCTTTCCACTAGAGCCCGATGATGAAAGTGGATATGATGTCTTAGCAAATCCCCCAGGACCAGAGGACCAGGATGATGACGACGAGACCTACAGCGATGTGTTTGAATTTGAATTTTCCGAAAGCCCCCTCTTGCCTTGTTACAATGTCCAAGTGTCCGTCGCTCAGGGGTGAGCTTGGCTGTCGAGGGCTTTGTGAAGTAACTAAGCTCCTCTGGGAGTGGCAGGAGTTAGAAATTCCTTTAAATGGACAAGGCTGGGCATTCCTGAGTGGCCACGGACTCACATAAGGCAGCAGAGCTTTTCTGGAAAAGGGGTGGGGGTGGGGCTGGACACAGCACGGTATAACATGTTCCCAGAGTGCAAAGGGCGTTGAAGTCGGTGACTGGAATTCCATGGAGAAGCCAGCAACTTGGATCTTTTTTTCACTTCACTTTTGGCGAAAGGTTCCCTAGGAGCCATCCAAGGCACTTGAGGTCTACTCGACCATACCTGCTTCTCCGTGACATTAGGAAAAGCAGAACATGGCACCTGGGGCTGTGTGGGTTAGCGGAGTTGGTTAGAACAGTCCTCCTCCCGTGATCTGCCCTGTGGGCAGCCCTTTGGGGTGTCCATGATGGGAGACCATTTTCCATGTTTAAAAGGTGCTTCGTGAGTAATTCCGCCTCCACCTCTGAAGCTGTAACCTTATATGCTGCTACGGCAACATTTTATTAGTAATAGAAATCATGAAGTGTGGCAGGGCGTCACGTAGGAACGCAGTGATTTCCTTCTCAAAAGTGTCATTCCCCAAAGCATCGTGGGCTGGGATGGAGGTGTGGGAAAGGGAGCGAGCCAGGCTGTGTTGAGGGTAAGTGGGGAGGAGAGCCGAGAGGCCTTTGCCATGGACTGGTTGGGATCCAGGCTGACTAGAGCGGGGTGCTCACTTGGATTGTTGTGACTGGCGGTGGCCAGAGCTGCGTGGCCTTGGCTGGGCAGTTCCCATTGCCATCAGCGGAGCTGGTGCTGCCAGTGCTGACGCCTGCCCAGCAGCTCTACTGCTTGTGTCGGACTTGGTTGCTCCTCCTAGTTGGTCTCTTACTAAATCCAGATGAGCCCAGAGTTCCCACCACTAGAAGCAGGTCCTCTCTTCTAGGTTTGGGGCTGGTGGGAAGGTAGGTGGGTGCATCACACTTGGTGTCAAAGCAAAGCAGGAGTAACAGGCCCATCATCCTGTAGTCGGGGGAGTAAATCATTTTGCCGAAAACTCAGACAACTCTCCTTTTTCTTCTGTAGGCCCCGAAACTGGCTGTTGCTTTCAGATGTGCTGAAGAAATTAAAGATGTCCTCCCGCATATTCCGCTGCAATTTCCCGAATGTGGAAATTGTCACGATCGCTGAGGCAGAGTTTTACCGACAAGTTTCAGCAAGTCTCTTGTTCTCATGCCCCAAAGACCTGGAAGCCTTTAACCCCGAGAGCAAGGAGCTGTTAGATCTGGTTGAGTTCACCAGCGAGCTGCAGACTCTGCTGGGCTCCTCTGTGGAGTGGCTCCACCCCAGTGATATGGTCTCGGACGACTACTGGTGAGCTCGCCAGGCCAGCCGTGTACAGTGTGTCATAGTGTTAATCCTTGTGCATATGTGTCATAATACGACTATTTCTGTAAAGAAAGGACACTATTACATATGAAAATATCTCTTCTTTATATAAGAGAAATGACTCCAGTTGGAAGGACTTAGAAACATGTTTTTTTCTTTTTAAACTTTTCAGTCAGTTTTTATGAAGTTGTTATAATGTTTCTTTACTTTGATGCACACATACTTTGGGATATGTTTGTTTTTACTTGGGACATTTGTTTCTTTTCTTTTTTTAAGGAGAAAAAAAAATTTGAGAAAAAGGAGCTCCACTCTGTGACTTAATTTCATACACAGCTCCAGTGACAGAGGCTGTAACTGTAACTGAGTGTTCAGAACCAGGTGTGGTTGGTTTGGGGGAGTGAATTGGGTGAAGGCACTTGGCGATGTTGTAACTTTATGTTTTGTTTACAGAGTACCTGCTCGGGCCAGGTAATGCTATTGGATGTAATCCAGTAGCGTGTAATATAAATTCAAACCATATCCACACACAACAACTAATTGTATGAAACTTTTATATCCTAATTTAAAAGCTGTGAAATTAGTTTTCACGCATCAAACCGGATTGTTTATATGTTTAAACATTTTATGCTCTTATTTAAAGAAGACTTTGAGCTATTTTTTTCTGTACCCTGTAAAATATTGAAAACTAACATAATATGTTGAGGTTGCTTGAAAAATGTACATAAGACTAAAATTTTCTGAATTGTGTGTTTATGTTTGAAATCTGTGTTTTAACTTTGTAAGTAAATTCTCTGCCTTTGTATTTATATTTTACAAAAATTTTCTTAAAGGCAATAAACCTGTTGAGGAAAGGAGAAAATTGAAGTACCTTGTGTCCTGTATATTCCAAAACGTTGTCACAGAATTTTCTTTCATGTCAGTCACTTCCTCACAGATGACTTTAAGACAATTACTGGTCTCTATAAACCAAAGCAGGTTGGAGGGTTTCGAGGGAGAAGTGCTCAGAATACAATTTGGGGTTCCGCCCCGTCAATTCTTGCATATATATTTTGATGTCTCTCAGGTCTTTCTCTTACACAACTCCTTTGATATGCCCCATTAGGCTTTTGCATTGCCTTGGCCCTTGGTATATTGTAGTAGCTCCATCATGGCTCTTTATCTTTAGTAGCACTTTTTCTTGAAAGTGGGGCTTTCATTCTGTTTCTTCTTTCCAGACCTCAATGTCTTCCTGTTACTTTTCAGAATCAAGTCCAAACTGCTTTGCCCAGTGGTAAAGGGCTCTGTCTCTGGCCACTCCCACCCTGCTCCTCTAACTGTTCTTTCTTCTAGCAGTATCCCTGGTGGGTACTGTCAATTGGCATTCAGTTTCCACCCCGCATCTTTTTATGTCTTTCTTTAATTGCAGAAGCTAGAAATCTAGTAACTACTAGACTCCCTTGCAGCTAGGTTTCTGAAAGCTAAGGTGGAGGCAACTTTCTGTTCTAGAGGTTGCTGATAAAGTTCAGAGTGACTAGAGCTACTTCCTCATGCCTAGATGAGTCACTAGGTAGGCTGTTCTTAAAATTCACTGCTTAAACTTAGTGGTTTGTATTCCTAGTTCACCTTCTAGCCCTTCCAAACTTGTGAAAAACATCTAATTCTTTGTATCAAATCCATTTGTGTTTGGAGTGTCTTGAGTGCTTTCCAGTCTTTGAATGAACACCGAGAACACGAGGCAAAGCAGATGGAAGGGGACTCGGGGAAGAGACTGGAGATATGTCTCTGATTTGGATCTTGAAGTAGATGGTGTGCAAGCAACTTCTGCCGCTTGGCAAGTGGGGAAAGTGAGACATAGTTGGGAATGGGGAAAATCTAGTGTATCAGATAACCAGTGTGTGGATGAGGGAGAAGCATACCTGAGCAGGGTAGACTTGGGGTAATAAATGAAGTTAGGAATGTCTCCTGAAGACAAAAAAGGCAACCTAAAAACAAAAGACAACCAATGTGTGTTTTTGATAGACTTGTTTTTCTGGTTATAGAAAAAAAGGTAAGCATTTCAGAAATAAAGATTCTTGACATCCATGCCAGCCCTCCCTCATTTTTCTCTCCCCCATTCCAGAGTATATACCACTTTAAAAGTTGGCTATTTTTTTTGGTGTGTGTTTTAGGGAGCTACCTCATACAGATGCGATAGAAAAGCAGTAAAACCAGCAGAAATGATTTAAAAAAGAATGGTGAAACTGAATTCTACTATAAGGAATAAGAGGCTTCGTGAGAGCCTACTTTAAAGCAAAGTTAACTCCAGGGCATATGTCTCTTTGTCTTTGTCTTTGGGCTGGAGGCAAAGGGAAGGCCAGAGGCCAACTGAGGATTCCATCCAGAATGAAGGTCATTCTATTAATTAAACTAAGAACACAGGCGGCAGCCGTGGGCTTAAGGGGTGCAAGGGAAGAGAAGAGCTGGCTTTAGGAGACATTTAACGTTGTGGTTCATGCTATTGGAGGAGCTGTTAAACAACATTTACTGTAAGAACCTGCAGGGTTTTAGAAAACATGCATGAAGACCTATAAGACTAACCTGGAATTGAGATGAGATGAGATAAGCATGGCCTTGGAAAGTCTGGATATAAGGGAGGTCACCACTGCTATTTAGGAACTTATCCTGGGTAGAGAGGAGACAGCATAAGGGTAGTCTGAGCCCACAGGAACAGAGCAGGAGCACAGGTATAGACATCACACTGGTGGATATAGCAGAGCTCTCCACTGGTAAAGACTCATGAGATTTCACTGGCAACAGCAGAGTCACAGATAGGTTCATAACACTATAGGTGGAGAGCAGAAGCAGTTCATTCAACTCCTAAAATTGTCTAGAGGGTTAAGGGTATACCTTTTGTCCTATCCTCTCCTTTGGCTAGAACGTGGTTATTTATTGCCAGAGAAACCACCCTGGACCTTGAGGTGTAGAAGTCAAATGAAGAAAACAATGCATTTGGAGGAATCTGGCTCCTGAAGGCCTAGAGGGACAGAACCACTGGACCTGCTCGGCTGCCTCTTACATTTGGGGGTTTGGAGGAGAGGTTATGTTGAGTCTACTGTTACTTTTGAGTTTTTCTACTACTGCCAAATCCAGTCTTAATCTGCTTACCATCTGTGAATTTATGTGAGTTCTACTTTGTTATCCTCTTCTGTAAAATTGGCCCAATAGTTAGAATAGCAAAAGACAAAAAAAACGCTCGTATCTTTTAGTTGGGTTTTGAATTAACGGCACATCCACACAGTAGAGTATTATGCAATTGTACAAGGACGTAACTAACTCTAAATTGTTTAAGTATTCTCCAAAATAGTACTTTTAATGAAAAAGGTAAAGAAAAGTATGCACTTTCTTACTATTAACTAAGAAGGGAGGGTATTAAAAGTTTATACATATTTCCCTGCTATATTTTATTATTTTTAAGATTCATTTTATTTCTTTATGTATACAAGAGCTGGAGTATAGACCAGAGGTGTGTGGAGGGGATGGGGTTGAAAGGATTTCACCACAGACAGTGGGGAGCAGAACAGGTGGCTCTACTGAAATACACTTCTGAGGGGAGCAGCAGGCTAGACAGGAGAAGTCTGCTGTGCCATGTGGGTCACCTCCCTGGCTGGGGATCAAACTCATGCTGCAGTGGCTAGCAATAGCTTTTGATGGTGCTGTAACCCCTTGCACAACCAGGGAGGCCCCTATCCTGCTTTAAAAAGGATAAAGAGGTTACCTCCAGGGAAGGAACTGGCTGCAAGGGAAACAGTAGTGGCTACACTTCTTCTGAAAGTACCTATAATACAGATTTGACTTCAGAGTTCACTTAATTATAAACCAAAAGTAATGCCTACAAATCAAAAGGGAAAATGAAACAAGCCTAACTACCCAGTTGGCAGCACAACCCTACAGAAAAGAGCCATTTCAAGTGACTTTAAAACAATAAATTGATTGTGTAATCCCTTGTGGATTTACCCTGAGGACAGAAATAAATGTAAAAGCATTATAAATTGTTTTTCAATAATATTGTCCTTGGTTATGTCAGCATTGCTACACTGAGATTGTCCTGTTTCTGTGGAAATAAAGCAAAAAGTATTTGGTATTGAGAACGGATTGCCAGCATGGGAGAAGAGACGAAATACAGGATGTGTGAGGTTGAATAAAAGTTATGTGGTCCTGTATTTGAGTTAGAAGTATCACTGTGAACACATGATGAATTTTCTCTAAAAAATGAGCCATTGCATGCAGGTGATTTGGTGATGGGAAGCCCACAGGGATTACAAGTGAGATGGGAAAATGCACAAAATGAAGTAAAAATAAACTTTTTTTTTAAAAAAAATGAGCCATTGTAAAGATCTAGAAAAACTGGCCAAGAGAAATGAACACCACTAGTCCTAGACTGTGGCTTCTAAATATCCTTTCTAAATAAGAATGGTAATGGCGGTCCCTGGACAGATGATTGACTCCAGTTTGGGTTAAGAGAGTTGAGGACAGTGGGGTCCTCCCTGGTGGCACAGCTAGTTAAAGCACAGCACTGCAAAGCTGGCCACAGTCGCTTCAGTGCATGTTCAATCACCTGCCCCAGAGGTGATCCACGTGGTGCAGCAGACCTCAACTGTTTCACCCACTTCTCCCCTCAGCAGTGTATTTCATTGATCTGCCTGTACTGCTCCCCACTCTGACTATGGTGAATCCTCTCACAGCCCACCTCACCTGTGGCCTGTACCCCAGTTCTGTATGCATAAATAAATAACTTTTTTAAAAAGGGGGAAAAGAATATGAAAAGTAATGGTTTCTTTACAATAGTAAACACTGCCACAGTGTTCCTGTCAAAAATGTGATCTGAATCCAATCTCTAAATACAGAATGTGGGTGATTGTGCAAGACAACAGGTGTTAAAATTTTATTTATTTTGTGTCAGTGTCATAAACAAAAGCAAGAGAGAATGTTACAGATAAGAGAAGATTAAAGAAATAAAACAAGCAGGGGCCTTCCTGATGGAGCAAGGGTTAAAGTCTCAGCACAATCTTATTGCCTCAGCAGCCAGAGACAATACCCCACAGGGAGCTGATCCACGTGGCAGCAGGCCTCTCCTGTCTCACCTGCTGCTCCCCTCAGCAGTGTATTTCAGTGGATCTGCCTGTTCTGCTCCCTGCTCTGTCTCTGGTGAATCCTCTCACCCAGCCTCCCCCACACCTCTGATCTACACCCCAGTTCTTGTATGCATAAATAAGTAGAAATAAGTCTTTTTTAAAAAAAGAACTAAAATAAGTAAATGTAATGCAGGCGACTTGGTAGAATCCTTAATTAGGGGAAAAATAGCTTTAAAACACTTGGGACTATTGAGGAGATTTTAAAAAATCAATCATACTGAGGTATGATTTACATACATCGAAAGACACCTGTTTTAATTGTAGAGTTCTATGAGTTTTGACAATTTTACACCATGAAACCACTACTCCCGATCAAAACACTAACATTTCCATCACTCCCAAAAGTTTCCTCATGCCTCTGTTTTCAACGTCTCCCCACCCCCCACCCCAGGTAATCACTGATTTGGTTTCTATCACTATAGAGTCAATAGGGAAATTGAAATAAAGTCTATAAATTAGAGGGTATTATTTAATAAATGTAAATTTTCCTAGGCATGATAATGGCATGTTGGTTATGTAAGAAGATGTTCTTATTCTTGGGAGATGTATGCTAGTGTGTTTAGTGGTGAATTATGATGTCTGTAATTTATTTTCTAACAGTTTAGCAAAAAGTGTATACACACAGATAACAAAAGCATGACAAAACATAATTGGTGAATCTAGGCAAAGGGTATATTAAACTGTTCTTTCAGTGTTTCTATAGGTTTGA